GATGAATATAGAATTATCAAATATATAATAAAACATTGATCAATACTTGATTGTTATCATACAAGATGTATTTTTTTTTGTCATCATCGATTCTTGTCAATAATATATTGGTATAATTATATATTAATAGGAAAGAAGAGATATTATAAACAATCTGTCATTCGTAAATACCATTCTCTAATGTGATAAGTAGTTTGTCAATTCACTTTCGATATCGTAGACTTGAGTGATGCGATTGATAACACCGTTGACATTCATTATATTTCTTCTTTTCTCGATTACAAACGTTGAATTGACTTCTTCAAAAGATCGATTTCGAATATTTATTCGAAATGTTGCCTCTACATTTCATGCAAATTGGCGTCAACATTTTGTTAGTGAACGTCCATTTGTTAAAAATCGTTTTAAATTAACTAATAATGGAACTCATTACAATTCATCTGATTTTATTTATCCAATGATTCTTACTGTTGGTTCCTGTCTTGTTCATCGAAATTTGAAAGTAGCTCGTGCACGTTACAATTTCTCGATAACTTATGTTGATATATTAAATATGGATTATGATGAATTACCTACAGATTGGGCATATGAAAATAAAAATACTGCACGAGTTGCTTGTAGACAAGTTTTAAAAAGCGTTCGTCAAAAACGTTTATTTAATCGAAATTTAATCGAAATAATATCAGAAAAAATTTACAAGGCGTGGATAAAACGTAATGCACATCGAGCATCAAATCAATTAATTTTACCTTATAAGTATTTACCCGAGAATGAAAAAGACAAAGATCGAAGAGCTATGTTAATAGCTTGTCGCTTATATAATGAACTTCATTTGTATCGTTATTTTAGAACTACTCCTATTCATTTAATTGAACCTTCGATTGAATAGAAATAAAATTTACATCTTCAAAAAAACAAATGATCATGTTTTACAAATGTAAAAGGTATAAAAATTGTGTTCAATATAAATATTAAATGAAATTTTTAACAAAAACAAAATTCATTATGCAAAATTAACGAGAGAGTTTTTACAATTGAAAATTTTCCTTGTTAAATATGATTCGTTCAAATAAAACAAAGTTAAAAAGAATTATATGAGATTAGAAAGAAAATGTTTCTTTAAGTTGTTTTCATTTTTTTCGAATAGAGAAGATTTTATCATACTT